ATTTTTAACGCAAAAATAAATATTTTTCACGCGATCAAACAATAAAGAAAAAAAAAAAAATAAAAAAATAAACTAACAAACAAACTAAAAGAAAAAAATTAGGGGCACATCGGAAATTGACCTAGTGACCTCCACGCTACAGGTGTGTTGCTCTACAAACTATAAATCTGAAAATACAACAAAGAAAGGCAGACTGTACGGTTGGGATAAATGTGAATATATTTTCCAATATTTCGTCAGGCACGGCTGACTTCTTCAGGGAACTAACTCCAAGAAAAAAACGTTACAATTTTAAGCACCAACGGTTTTTGTTAAATATTGAACAGTACCCGTGGTTGCAACGAACGGTTATTCTCCTTTTCACCCTCGTGTCCCACGTGACTAGTCACGTGACACGAGGGTATTGTTGTCAGTCGCGCGTCACTCACTTTCCACATTTTTGTTAGCAAATTAGTGAGATGACAACACAAGAACAAATAACAAGCGTTAACTAGTAATACGTGACTCGCATGGGTCCTCGCGAATCTGTGTATGGAGATTAATTATTGTTGGGGTGTGAGGGTGATAACCTGGCTTTAAGAGATCGACTGGAGTTCGCTGGTCTCCCGACATCTGCCCTTTATACTGTTAACGGTCTTGTTTCTACGAACGACTGACTGGACGCGCTGCGTGACAAATATGTCCTGAATTTCCGACTACAGATTTGCATCAATTATAAATTATTTCATGAAAAGAACCTTTCCTCAGTCCTTGTTAAGGATTTTTTTTTATCGACGCCGTGAATAAGCGGCGAATATATACTGTGAAGTCTGCATATCGAATCGAATTGAAGGTGTTCTCGGGCTACGTTCACATTGTACCAGATCCACTTTGGATCAGGTACAAAATCTGCACGGATAGGCCTTTTGTTCACACTGCTATCCGGACAGGTTTCGGACCACCTATCCGTGCAAGTTTTGTACCTGCTCCAGAAGCAGTACAGTTTTGGATCCGTAACGGTCTCAAGTTGTATCGACACGGTGTGAACAGGTTGAACGGTTCCGTTTTTCGTATCGGGGACGCCATTTTTGTCAAAAAATGGTGAGTTTCGGAAAATGATGTACTGTTTTCCCCGCTTTTTCCGTGGAATGATCTGAAACCACCTCGCTTTTGTAGCTAAAATCTTCTCTTACTCATTCAGTTTTGCATTCAGCCGCCTGGAAAATTCGCAATATCGATCGGCGAATTATTTTTAGACTCAAGTCTTCACGTCTATAATGAAAACTATAAGGCCATATGTTGATCGTACTTTGAGAAATTCTTGAGTCGTCGTTCCTGTTGCTATTGTTGATACGGAATTGTTGATACCGATAAACAAACTTGGAGTATAAATTCTTGAGTAACCGTTTCCTGTTTCTACAGTACGTCTGCTACACAGAGTTACGTCGAAGTCAATGTTTATTAAGCAAAGAAAAGGGAAAAAAAGAACGGCCCGGATTCGAACCTATAGCAGTCGAAGTCTTTGTCTAAAATGCGCCGGAAAGAAAAAGGAATACTGTATTCAGAAGAAAAAGGCAAGGAAAGACCTTTTACTGTAGTTCATAGATACGGGGGAAAAAACGAAAGAAACGCCGCCCGTGGATAGTGAAATCCCCCGATCCAACACCGAGTTGACCGAGTGCGATCAGCTCCATTCATATGGGGAAATTGATCAACCGATGAGTGCGTCGAGAGTCTTAAAAATCTTTCATTGTTTTAAATTCTATACTTGTCGCTTGAAGGAGATTCACAGTTTCAAAAGCGTCGCAGCGGCCGGGGGGTTTGTCTTGTTGATTGGATCGTATGCGTATAAAAAACACAGTATTTGATTCAAAACGCAGATTGTAAGTATTTACGACAAGGGAAATAAAAAATAGGTCCGCTGAGCGTGCATGTGTAGAAATAGGATTGTCTTCTTCTGCAACATTGCGAACCAACAATTTTAACGTGTATCCACTATCGGCAACATTGCGACACAGCTAGCAGTGATAACCTAAGCCATCATAGTTTATCTCTTGACCCTATAACACAATGATCTTTTCGACCCTTTTCTTCTTTGGAGAGCGCAGAAAAGTACTAGATCAAAAAGCCATTTTGGTTAAATAATTTTAAAAACATCAAAACTTTCTTTCGCGGGTCAGCTATGTTGCGCGAGAATGCGGTACATGTTGCGGAGTTCAATTTGTCCTGCCGTTAGTTTTAGCTTTAGTTACCATTAAGACTACAAATATAAATATCCCCGTCTGTCTTGTTGAACGAAATGCGAAAGGACGCACGCAACAGTATAAAATGGCTTGCCCACGTAAAAACTGAAGCTCGTGCCAATTTAGTTGTTGATTTCCTATTTTTCGGTTTAATTCTTTCCCTCAACAAACGGTTGAAAACGAATCCAACTCAAAATGACGCAATTTCTGAAGTCGCGCGCAAACGTCAGAGATTAATATCCATAGCAAACAGGACCAAAAACAAATTGAAAATCCATCGAAAACTAAGTGTGAGGAATTTTAAAATAAATGCTTTTCAATCTAACCTTGATTATGACGTGTAAACGCCGTTTAACATTAAATTTCTCGTTAGTTTTCTTAAGGATAACTTTAATCAGCTAGAAAATTATTGAAGAGCTCTCATCTCTGTTCTCGCTGTTAAACATGATGGCCATACTATCGTGCGCGGTTTATTTCGCTATTATACAGTTATTTTTTTAAGATTGGCGGGAAAACGTAGCGTAAATATCGAAACAAAAATTCTTATTCCCCTTGGAATCTTCCTATTGATGCTTTTTATGTGGATAGTCGAGTTGATTTGGGCAACGTTATTTAGGCCACTTATTAATGAGAATAACAATCATGTATATTACAAATGTCTTCATTTTTCTCGTTTGCAAAATAAGCACGCTTGTTTCCAGGGGACTCGTGAGCTGATGCAGCCATCTGAAGGTGAAAACTTTGACGCAAATAATTAAATATGTCGCGCGATCAGTATATTCCTACCGCGTCACGCGCTTTCCGATGTAAACCTGTCACGAGACAGGGATTTTATCATCTGGTGAAATAATATCAAGGAACACAAACAATGGCTGCCCCACCTCTCATGGGAGCTCAACCCATTCACGGGAGGAAACTCAAAAGGCGGAAAGCAATTTAGTTATTGTTGTAAGTTATTCCTAATTTGCGTGAATACCGTTAGAGATATGGTGCTTCAATTGAAGTGTTTAGTTTTAAGCGTGAAAGCTTTTATGGCGTCGTAGTACAGGATTTTTGTCCACTGCCCAGAAATATTACTCGATTTTCTAATGGATTTCGTCTTAAGCACATCTTGATTAACACTTTTAACATCTTGACAAGTGATCCAACGACCGCCGAAATATTTCCCGTTTCACCTGTCATTGCCTATCGACGCGATCTCAGCCTGAGGAACATCCTGGTACACACTTCTGACAAGAGCACAACAGAGGTACCTGGTACATTCGCATGTCAACACCGCGATGCCGCACCTGCCAATACACCACGTCTAACATCAATGTACGCGGGTCAAAGAGTTCAACCACCATCCGCGAACACTTTACCTGCAAATCAGAAAACATGGTGTACTGCATCTCTTGCCGTCAGTGCACCCTCTTATACATCGGAGAGACCGGTCAAAGTCTACTGTGAACGTTTTGGCGAACACCTTCGCAGCGTTCAAAAGAAGACTGCTGGTTTCCCTGTGGCCGAGCATTTCAATTCTGCCGGCCACACTCTTTCTGACATCATGATCAGGGGATTGAGGATGTGTACTGGGACAAGCCTCCGCAGGAAACAGCTAGAAATGGAAATCATTTTTAGGCTCGGTACTACACAACCACAAGGCCTAAATACAGTCAACTCTCTCTAAAGTGGACACCCTCGGGACCAGCTCTAGCTGTCCGCCTTAGAGAGGTGTCCGCCTTATAAAGAGTTAATGTAACTATAAAAACCCGTGACGTCAGCTCCCTTTCTCGGCTTCCGATCGCTAATTAAAATAACAGTACCAGTTTTCTTGTAATCAGATCAGTTTGATATTATTATGCTGTGGTAGGTCAATTTGAAATAATATCCGGCCTATAATCTATTGATTGCGCAAAAAAATGCACTTCTAGTGTCCGCCTTGAGAGGTATTTTTCACAAGAATTTGCTAAAAATGTGTCCGCTGTCCGCCTTAGAGAGGTGTCCGCCTTAAAGAGAGTTTAGTTACAGTCAAACAAGTGAAATTCGTCGAAGGGAACAGCTAGCCAATTCATGTCATTCATGTCCGCTTAGGGAGGTGTCCGCCTTACAGTGATGTCAGATTAGAGAGAGTTGACTGTAATGATTTCCATTTCCTATAAACTGCGCGAGCATGGTGCTACCTCTGCGCGCGCATGGTGCTACCTCTGCACGCGCATGGTTGCTACCTCTGCGCGCGCATGGTGCTACCTCTGCGCGCGCATGGTGCTAACTCTGCGCGCGCAATGGTGCTACCTCTGCGCGCGCATGGTGCTACCTCTGCGCGCCCCATGCCAAGTATTCAAAATCAAAGCCGCGCATACCAATAACGGTATTTACACTGAAGAAGGACGTTTGTAACTATTCACTATATGACACTTTTTCTCTATTTTTAGTCTGTTTTTTACATTCAAGTGTCACGCATCATCCGGGAGAACAATTTCTGTTCAACCTACAACAATACTCAGATTTTGAGCTTGTTATCAGTTAGCCATGTATTTTAGACGTACTGCCATCTATCTCCCCTACATTCCGCATTTATTGCAAATTAAGGTCTTCACGAGCCTAGTGGCCCACAACTGCCGGAGCGTATCCCAGTTTCTGTAGCATGAAGCGACTAGAAGTATTGCTACTCCCTTGGATGGGATGCTAGTCCATCGCAGGTTACCTCCCAGCATTTTGTAACCGGTACCCATTTATACCCTTGGGTGGAGAGAAGCACTGTGAGAGTAAAGTGTCTTATCCAAGAACACAACACAGTGACCCGGCCAGCGCTCGAACCCAGACCGCTCGATCTGGAGTCCAACACGCTAACTATTTGGTCACCGCGTCTCGGCTGCCAAAGTCAATACTGAATTTAAAAAAGAAACGGCACGTGTTAAGTTCGGAAAAATGACTGGTCCCTCGGAAAACAGTGAGTTTTGTTTCCCCTCGACCATTAATGTTCCCCTCGGCTTCGCCTCGGGGAACATTGAGGGTATCGGGGAAACAAAACTCACTGTTTCCCTTGGTCCCAGTCATTAAGTGCTTATTATACCGAATAATTTTGCAATCACTTGACGGACTTAACGAACAAAACGACGGTTTAAAACCAATACCTCATGTACTAATTTGTCTGTCAATTATTATTCTTATCAACTGGAATATTTCTTGAAACTTTATTTTCAATAAAGACATCAGTATTCGCCACGTGGCGGGAAAACGAAAAACTGGAAAACAAGCAATGTTGCGGGGCTGTACTTGCGCTCGATCGACAAAGGACGGATCAGTCGTCCCAAACGTGGGTGAAAGTCTATGGTTGAACAAGTACGTCTCTGAGAACACATCCGGGTTAAATGATTATTGACAGAAACTTCCTCTTCAGGCTTCCCACTCAGTCAACAAACGCATTAAGATGGATTTCCACTGTCGCGTAAGTTTACGTACGTTGGCAATGGGCGTGAATTTGCGTGCGTAAACAGAATAGAGAAAATATACAGACGGCTTGCCTCTGCGGAAAAAGTTGAAAGTGGTTTAACTTTTTTCGGCGGACGCAAGCCATCTATACGATATTCTCAAACTTTAAGAAAACCAATTATAAGTAGACCCTCATCGCTTATGTTAAAACTCAACGCTTAGATTTGAGCTCTTTCATATTAATTTCAATTCACAAAGCTACCTTAAAACACTCATTGAGGCTAGATGAACTTTCCATACTCCCTTTTTTAGCTTCAACGCGATCATACTAAACTATTCAATTTCTTGCCATCATGTGTCTTTGTTATAATTCTAACATAATTTAAATGAAGTCATGATCCGTTTTATTCGTATAAATTACTTCAAAACGGAGGAGGAATAAAAATAGGAAAATTTCCCGCTGTAGTACAGCTGCGGGGTTATAGACAGAGTTGCGCTCCCAAGGGAGTGATCGCACTCTTTCCATGCAACGAAGGCAAACTTTTAACGTTTGTTCTCTAGACAACATGAAAGGTAATTTATTGCGAGTATTTCTCTCTTGCACTGAACAATACTGTTACAGTATAAATCGTATGATAGAACACATCGTGTGTCTGGAGCAAAACATGCGGCCGGCAACCGTCTGTGACAATGATTGACAGAAGCTTCCTGTACAAGCTTCCCACTCAGTCAACAAACGCTTTTAAATCGCGATATTTAATATCTCAATAAATATTCTCCGACTTTAAGAAAACTAGGATATTAAACCCGCCTCACAAGAACTGCAAATAAAAGATCAATTCCACAGTAAAAACATAAAATAATTTGTAACTTGTTCTAGCAAGAGAAAATATTTTTATATTGGTCAGTCTATCCCTGCTAATAAAACAGAAACAGTGACCGGCATGAATGTTTAATTAGTTCGTGCAGACGACAGACTCTTGAAGTTTTCTGAAGTATCCTGTTCAGTCTTCCAAGAAACAGAGACCCTTAATATATAAACCGACAGCTCGTGACTTGTAAGGCCGACTGTTTTGAGAATCAGCTTCTGACTTGGTTTATAAACTATATATGGTGGTTTGTTTTGAAATAATGTTTGCACCCGTGGCTTGAATACTGCTGAGTCAAACATGGAGAACAGTGTCGAAAAAAGAGAGAAAGTGCGTGGTGAGGGAAGGGAGAAGACAGGAAGTTATAAAAAGGGAATGCTACACAGAAAGACGCCGTGGTAAACAGAATAACTTAACAACAATATATTACATTTATTTATGCATTTTATTTCTTCCTAATCAGTAAGACAATTACAAATAACTACAAAATGCGTTGTATAAAGAGCCAAGGAGCGGTTACAAAGTTTCTCAAATATATATTTACACTTTTGAATTAAATTAAACGGTACGTAATAGTATTACAATTTTACAACTATACAGTTTTGAACTAGATATTATTTACAAGTTTCAGGTCGACTGTACAGAAGTATCATTACTTGCTAAAAGTTCCATTTTACAGATAAAAGGCGTGTCCTTCAATTTTACGTACAACATTAAAAACAACTGATACCGTAATGTATATTTACAGGACGAGATGAACAGTTTTCGTTATTTGGCAGCCCGGAGAGGACACGTAACAAATTATAATTTAACCGAGTCCGAGTTCAGACAAAATAAATTTACGAATCACAGTAACTTTTTTGACCGTTCGATGATAAACAACACGCTTAGCAAACTAGTAGAAAACCGAACGGACTAGATTTTAGTTGCATCTTTTTACGGACCGTTCTATCTCCTTATATCTGAAAGGAGTCCTACCGGGCGACACGATTACGAGACTGCACTGCACTAAAGCAGCGAAGGAGATTCTTAAGACCTTGACAATAATTCCCACTGAAAATAAAACAGATGCAAGGGTTTATGGCACAATATGCGTTAGCCATAAAAAAAGGAAACAATGGCGAAGTATGTGAAGCCACAAGACCATGTCAGGTTGTCAGCCAAGAGGATCAGAATCAGGCCAATACTGGCGGGCAACCAGCATACTGCAAATCCCAACACGATAGCAATGGACATCTTCAGCACATTTCGTTCCCTTTTCGCGCGTTGTTGTCCAGCGTTGACCGACGGCTCGCCTGGAGTCTTCTTTGACTTAAGCTTTACAGCAATTATGGTGTACAGTATGGCTATCAACACCAAAGAGATATAGAAGGATATAACATATAATGCTAGTTTGTAATTTTGAAAGGACGAGGACTCTCCAAAGACTTCATTCCACTGCAGCGCACACGCCAGCCCTCTTGGATATTCAACAAGTTTGTAGGCGAAGAGATCTGGGGAGTTGATAGCCATCGCGACGATCCAAGTGGCGAAAATAAAGAAGGGGCACAGCTTTGAACTGATTAGTGGGGAACGAAGGGGAAATACCACAGCACCAAATCGATCCACTGCTATCAGAACCAGGCTCTGAACAGACACACCGATAGAGACACAAGGTAAGAAGACGGACAGCTTACATAAGGCATCGCCAAGAGGACCACTGATCAGCCAGGAGTCGACGTACACCTCTCTTAGAATCTGCGGGAACCGGAAAATTGGATACAGCAGATCCGACATGGCCATGTTCGCTATTAAATAGTTGATGGGTTTTCTCAGAGTTTTCGTCTTGTAGACAATTATTCCGATGAAGGAATTCCCGGCCAGCGAAAGAAGAGAGAGCAGACAGTAAGCAATGGATTTTCCGATTTTTTCTGCTGTAGGATTGAAGCAGTTGGATGGCTGTGTTCCATTCATCGCTGTGTTCAGGTCTGCCGACATTCTCGCGGTTTCTTATTCAGCTTTTTCTCCCACAAATTATTTTTCATCTGGTTTGTTTTCAAGGAAGCACCACGCTATGTTCTACAGAAGGCGGGATAATCTTTGGGCTTGAGGTCATTTATGCGCAAATAATTAATAATTTAAAACATGACAGCGTAAAAAAGCAGGTAAATTAATTATTGCCGATGTAATCTGAAAACCGTGCGAGAAAAATGAACAGCCATTACCTTATGATCATGAAGTGATGTAGAAAATTTCCATGATTCGGTGAAAGGGCGATTTTTCGAGATACTCAAGTTCCACGATTTGCGGAAATTTAATTTCCTTACTTTGTTTAATGATTTAAACTTGGTTTTCTTTTTTTGCAAATACTAAAGTAAGGAACTTGCCTTTTATTGTTATGGTAATGCAGTAAATAAGAAATGCGGTTATTTTTGGAAAGGGTGATTCTAGAAGCTAAGTAAGCCTCTACTATAAAATATCTAATATTTGTTACGGTTCTCTTAAACTATAGACATTGTTTTCTGCCAAGTTTGATCTACTAAACCCTTTCTGTGTTAATTTAAAAAAGAAAGGGAAATGTTGGTGTACTGATGCAGCGAATTATTACCTCTAACGGAAGCCTCTCAAGATAATCTAATATACAGAGGTAATTTGACTTGCATCAAGATTTTGACAGTTATGTCTGCTGTACTTTTCTCACTATATATTTAATGATCAGTGGCCTTACTCCAGATTATCTCATGTATTAATTTGAGAAATTAATACTTTGGTTCTTCAAATAAACATCAGTGCATTTTCAAGCGATGTTAAAACGGACATGAAAAACCTTACCCCGCGTTTGTTTCAACGGCCTGTTACCATATTGTACTTTAGGGTCCTTTTGTTAGTTTACAGCTGGTTAAGGTGGCTTCACTGCACGCGCCGGAAGTTAAGTGAAACATAACTTTTTTGAAGAACGTACGAGATTGCTTGACTTGCATTTTACTTTTCCATGCTGAGTCGTTTGAATGAGCTTCTGACAGAACTATTACATTCCTTTACAAATTTCAATTCCGAAAAACATTCTCATTTGGCCATAAAGCAACAGTTTTGCAAATACTGCTTTAAATTAGGCAACAGAAGCGGACACCCTCGGGAAGCAGAAAAAGTTCGGTCCGCAACTGGGAGCTGGCCGCTTACGGGAAATATGTAAAACAGAGTTTGTATAAGGTAGAGTTCAAACGGAATTTTGTCCACTTACGAGAGTGTTCGCTCAGAGAGCTCAGTTCGACATTCTTCAAACAAGTAACGTGTTATTCTTGCATAAGAAATAAATTAGAAAGAGGAGCATTCAGCGGGGTAATACGGCTGGGTATTTTTACTAGTCACGTCAGTTTTTTTTTATTTTTTCGAGGCTTTGTTTATTATACGACATTATTATTTCCTTAATGAAATCTACGCTTTTAAACAGTGTTTTCCGTAGCGCACTGCGGTCAGGAGGATTAAGAAGAGTGTATGGTCTCATAATTATTATTTCGCCTCATTAAATATATCGCGATTTTTTTTTTTTTTCAATCGCGAAAAACGAAAATTAGGTGCAAAGTACGA